CCCCCCCCCCCCCGCCGGCACCGGAATTGCCCAATCTCAGAGTGGAGAAAGAGTTTTTCCGATCGGGTTGCCGCAGAGCCCAATCTCTATGGCGCGTTAGGGCTCTGTTTGTTTGGGCCTAATTAAATGGGCTTCTCCCATGGCCCAATTCAAACCCAATAATGTCTCGGCCCATTTTCCAGGTAAGCACTTTTTTAATGTTTTTATATTATTTTTAAAAAAAAAATCAAAATTTATAATGCTTTATTATTTTCTTTCATTCCTCTCTAATCATACAAATAATTATTTTTTTATCTTAGAAAAAATAATCGATATCTTATTTACTCAACTATAAACTTTTATTAGTTTATATATTATTTTATTTTACATTACGAGAAACAACAAAATAGAGTAGCATTTATCGTAGAACCAAATTCTTTTTCGAGAAAGCTCGGGAGTGGTTGGATTTTGAACCTACCGCGAAAGTGAGAGAAGATAGGAGGGATGTTAAGAATGGGCCACGTGTCATTATGGATTACCATTGGATTCCCTTTTGAGGATAAAGTTGAGAGGTCAAAGGTTGTGAGTGAGTGAGTGATGTTATTTTGAAGCTTTCAATCTCTCATTTCTTAGCCATTTGTCTCTCTTTATCACTCACACAATGCCTCATATCATTTTTGTGGTACATATCTTCCATTTCATCAACATTGTAATTATTCCTAGATAGACCGAGACAGTGTCTGTTTTGATATTTTCGGTTCAAACAGTGATTCAAGATGAAAAATTCAAACTTCTAATCTTTTAGTTGAATATATATGATTTAACCAGTTGGGTTATGTTTAGATTTGACGATAATTGAGATATTGTTATTTTATATGTGTTTTGAACTTCACGTTCGTTAAAAAGAATACTCTTTATTGTTGGACGGTGGGAATAAAGCTATACTTTTTAATTCTAATGTAGCTAAATGAGAAAATCTCTCTTAGAGCTCGCTCGGAATCTAAGCAGATTAAAGTCCGTTCTTTTTCTTCCTTGGGTTCTCAGGAAAGTCATAAACGGACGTTAAACTTAATTCATTAAATCTCTCTCTTAGGGCTCGCCTAGGATCTAAGCAGATTAAAGTAAGTTTTTTTGTCTTCTTTGGGTTGTCTGGAAAGTCATAAAGGAACGTTGAACGTAATTTGTTAAGGATATTACGATAAAAAAGAAAAGCCGAGTCTTATAATTTATTAAGATACTGAAAAAACATACTCCTAGCAATAAATATCACATCAGCTAAGTTACATTAACATTAACCTCTTTTTTTTTTTTTTTTTTTTTTTTTTTTTTTTTTTTTTTTTTTTTTTTTTTTTTTTT